GCTAAGCTGCTGGACGTGGCATCAAGAAACTTTCTAAGCCAACACATCAAGGTACCGACAAGAATGAGAGGAGAGGATGAACCAGCCTTGCTTGATCTGATATTTACCCTAAATGAGTCGGATATAAGATATAAGATAAGTTGGAAGCCCCCTTGGGAATGAGTGATCACAGTGTATTGATCTTTGAGTACCTGGTAGAGCTAGGAATTATCTACCAAAAAAAGAACTGGGAAACAAAGGGCTGGCGTACCGGAAGGGAAATTATGAGATGAGAAAATTCCTAAGGGATATACCATAGAACACACAACTCAGAACAAAGTCCGTACAAGACATAATGGACTTTGTCACCCATAAGTGTCAGGAGGCAGTAAACAAGTTTATACCCGGCCCGGCAGGGAAAATCGAGAAGCTAAAGAAGAGTCCGTGGTATAACAGGGAATGTATGGAAGCAAAGGGGCTGAACAAAAGGGCGTGGAGGAACTTCCAAAATAACAGAACACCAGAAAGCAGAGAGAGAGATACCAGAGAACAGGAACGAGTATGTTAGTGTGAGAAGAGAAGTTGAGAAAAAGTATGAAAATGATATAGCTAATAAAGCCAAGACCGAAACAAGGGTACTCCACAGTCACATCAGGAGGAAAACAACAGTGAAGGAACAGGTGATGAAACTTAGAACGGGTGAGGACGGTCGGCCGAGCGGACAGCACACTGGACTTGTGATCCTGGGTTTGATCCCAGGCGCCGACGAGAAACAATGGGCAGTTTCTTTCATCCTATGCCCCTGTTACCTAGCAGTAAAATAAGTACCTGGGTGTTAGTCAGCTGTCACGGGCTGCTTCCTGAGGGTGGAGGCCTGGTCGAGGACCGGGCCGTGGGACCCTAAAAAAAGCCCCGAAATCATCAAGATAACCTCAAGGACAGGTACACAGAGAATGACAAAGAGGTGTGTGAAGAACTCAACAAGAGGTTCTAGGAGGTCTTCACAATAGAACAAGGTGAGGTCACTGCACCAGGAGAGGGGGCAGTAAACCAGGCGACCATGGAAGGGGGGTTCGAAATTACAAGAGATGAGGTCAAGAGGCATCTGTTGGATCTGGACATGAGAAAGGCTGTTGGCCAGGACGGAATTTCACCATGGGTATTGAATGAGTGTGCAGGAGCCCTTTGCTTGCCACTCTCCATAGTGTATAGTAGGTCACTGGAGATGGGAGACCTACCAGAAATATGGAAGACTGCTAATGTAGTCCCAATATACTAAAAGGGTGACAGACAAGAGGCACTGAACTACAGACCAGTGTCCTTAACTTGTATACCATGCAAGGTGATGGAGAAGATCGTGAGAAAAAACCTAGTAACACATCTGGAGAGAAGAGACTTCATGACAACCCATCAACATGGGTTCAGGGTAGGTAAATCTTGCTTTACAGGCTTAATAGAATTCTACGATCAGGTGACAAAGATTAAGCAAGAAAGAGAAGGATGGGCGAACTGCATTTTTTGGACTGTCAGAAAGCCTTTGACAGAGTACCCCATAAAAGGCTGATGCATAAGCTGGAGAAACAGGCAGGAGTAACTGGTAGGGCGCTCCAGTGGATAAGGGAGTACCTAAGGAATAGGAAGCAGAGAGTTACAGTGAAGGGTGAGACCTCAGATTGGCGTGAAGTCACCAGTGGAGTCCAACAGTGCTCTGTACTCGGACCTATCCTATTTCTTATATACGTAAATGATCTCCCAGAGGGTATAGACTCATTCTCTCTCAATGTTTGCCTACGACGCCAAAATTATGAGAAGGATTAAGACAGAGGAGGACAGCTTGAGGCTTCAAGAAGACCTGGACAAGCTGCAGGAATGGTTGAACAAATGGTTGTAAGATTTTAACTCAAGCAAATGTAATGTAATGAAGATAGTCGTAGGGAGCAGGAGACCAGATACAAGATATCATTTGGGAGATAAAATACTTCAAGAGTCAGAGAAAGACCTGGGGGTTGATATTATGCCATACCTGTCCCCTGAAGCCCATATCAAGAGGATAACATCAGCGGCATATGCCAGGTTGGCCAACATAAGAATGGCCTTCAGAAACTTGTGTAAGGAATCTTTCAGAACTTTGTATACCACATACGTCAGACCAATCCTGGAGTATGCAGCTCCAGCATGGAGTCCATATCTAGTCAAGCATAAGACTAAACTGGAAAAGGTTTAAAGGTTTGCCACCAGACTAGTACCCGAACTGAGGGGTATGAGCTATTGAGGTATGATAGCGTCGAGGACTACGGGAATTAACCTTCACGTCACCGGGAGACAGAAGAGTTAGAGGGGACTTTTTTTTTTTGCAGGGATATTCCTGCATGGGCCCTAAGCCTCTGGCTGGCCCACTAAGTGTTACTTGTTTCTGTTTTACTTGGGCGGAGTATGAGTATTAATGACTCATATCGTCGCTTTAGTAAGGTTTTGCCATATGTGTTTAACAACTTCTTCTGCTCTGTTGAATCTAAGTTGAAATCTTAATGGGTTTGTTACTGTGCACTGTGTTAGATAATGTTCTAGTGGTCTGTCTGGCATTTCTCCACAGTGCTGACATTTCCTCTCATCTTCCGGAACCTGTAAGCCTATTTCCCATGCACATGGGTATCCAAGCCTGATGCGATGTAAGTATACTTCTGTTGTTCTACTGCTTCCTTTCATCAAGCTAAGTGGTTCGTAGTTGGTTGAATTCTTGTACCAACCCGCAGATCCTGACGTTGCAACTGCTGTCTTGTGGTCACTGTACATCTTTTGCATTGCTCTATTGCTAATTACTTTCTTAATCTGTGATAGACTCTGTGGTATGTAAATGTCTACATTTCTTCTCTTAGTTGCAAGTTTTGTAGCTTTGTCTGCAATGTCGTTTTGAGTGTTTACATTAATGATATGACATTTGTGATCAGACGGATGTTATCACATATGTGTTCTTATTGCAAGATTTCAATGGTGGTTCTCGAATGTGTATGATAACATGTTGTCGGTGTTCAGCAAGAGCATATTCCAAAGCCTTTTGAATGGCTAGCATCTCTGTAAAGTTGAACACCCATTTGAGAGTCTCCAACTATTTACAGTTACCTCAAGGGGACATGATCACCACATACAAGATTCTCAGAGGAATTGATAGTGTAAAGACAGACTAGTTAACAAAAGGGGCACACACACTAGGGGACACAGCTGGAAATTGAATGCCCAAATGAGCCATAGAGACGTTAGAAAGTTTTTTTCAGTATCAGAGTAGTAGACAAATGGAATGCATTAGGAAGTGATGTGGTGGAGGCTGACTCCATACACAGCTTCAAGTGATAGAGCCCAGTAGGCTCAGGAACCTGTACATCAGTTGATTGACAGTCGAGAGGTGGGACCAAAGAGCCAGAGCTCAACCCTTGCAAGCACAACTAGGTAAGTACACACACACAGCTGAGTGAGTGGGGGCATGGTAGCTGAGTGGAGAGCGAGCGGGACTTATAATCCTGTGGCCCGGGTTCTATTCCCGGCGCCGCCATAGACAGAGGCAGAGTTTTTTCACCCTGATGCCCCTGTTACCTAGTAGTAAATAGATACCTGGGAGTTAGACAGCTGTTACGGGCTGATTCCTGGGTGTATGTGTGTGAAAAAAAACATTAGTTTGTAGTTAGTAACAGTTAATTGATTGACAGTTGAGAGGCGGGCCGAAAGAGCAGAGCTCAACCCCCGCAAGCACAAGTAGGTGAATTCATCTAGGTAAATACACACACACTAGTGGCCTGACAGCTGAGTGGACAGTGATCGTAGTCCTGAAGTTCCGGGTTCGACCCCCGGTGGAGGCGGAAACAAATGGACAGAGTTTCTTTCACCCTGATGGCCCTGTTACCAGCAGTAAATAGGTACATGATAGTTAGACAGCTGCTACGGGCTGCTTCCTGTGTGTGTGTGTGTGTGTGTGTGTGTGTGTGTGTGTGTGTGTGTGTGTGTGTGTGTGTGTGTGTGTGTGTGTGTGTGTGTGTGTGTGAAAAAAACGTTGATTGGCAGTTGAGAGGCGGGCCGAAAGAGCCAGAGCTCAACCCCCTCAAGCACAACTAGGTGAATACACACACACAGCTTCAGCACTATTTCTCGATCTCACAAAATTAATGGGAGTTTAAGGGTATCCTTTGTGTCAAGAGCAATAGGAGCTGGGGGGCTTATGAAACAATAAAGACGTCGCTTTACACACTGGAAGCAGCCGTGTGCTCCAGAGAGCCTTCGCTTAAAGAAAACGGGGTGCGGTTGGCAGCCGGAGGGACTTGGAACTAATCTTGGCTTGTGTGTGTGTAATTGAATCAGCTGGGTGATGTGTTTCTGCTGTCTGTTCCCTCTGCTACTGCTGCTGCTCCTACAGCTGTTGCCGCTGCTCTTCCTACCGCTGCTGTACCTCAGCTGCCGCTTCAGGTACGCTGGCCACTACTGGTGGTACATAGACCCAAACACATTCTGCATCTCTCCCTTTCACAAGAGGCATAAATTCAGACACAAAACACATGCTCACAAGCAAAACACATGCGAGCACATGCTCACAAGCTAAGTCTACCACAACCCACCATCGCTGGTTTGATTCCCGCGGCATTGCATCAATCTTCGATGCAATGTTTCCTTTCACCTGATGCGTTTGTTCTAACAATAAATATGTACCATGGGATTAGACAACTGTTGTGGGTTGCATGAACTTGCATCGCCAGGCCAGGGCGTGGAGACCGTAGCCAGGATGGCCGGTCCTCTCACCCAGGCCGGATAAGCACAGGTTCGTTTCTAAAACGAACAAAGCCGCACATGTAAGTCAAGCGATCGGATATTACTGTTGTTTTACCTTTGAGTTAATCCATTAATGTGGACTATAAGCCTCCGGCCTCACGTTACTGGTAGACGGGGCGGCAGGGTTATCGATCACGGCGGCGGCGGTGATCGTCCTCGACCACCACAAGGGGCCGGTCGCGTCTGCCGGCTGGCGCCAGGGTCTTTACTGGTGTGGGAACCGTGTAATGTGGTAGTGGCCAGAGGCGGCCACGGTGGCGCTGACGGAGGCGGCCACGGTGGCGCTGACGGAGGCGGCCACGGTGGCGCTGACGGAGGCGGCCACGGTGGCGCTGACGGAGGCGGCCACGGTGGCGCTGACGGAGGCGGCCACGGTGGCGCTGACGGAGGCGGCCACGGTGGCGCTGACGGAGGCGGCCACGGTGGCGCTGACGGAGGCGGCCACGGTGGCGCTGACGGAGGCGGGGACACTGACGGAGGCGGGGACACTGACGGAGGCGGGGACGCTGACGGAGCCGGGGACGCTGACGGAGGCGGGGACGCTGACGGAGCCGGGGACGCTGACGGAGCCGGGGACGCTGACGGAGGCGGGGACGCTGACGGAGGCGGGGACGCTGACGGAGGCGGGGACGCTGACGGAGCCGGGGACGCTGACGGAGGCGGGGACGCTGACGGAGCCGGGGACGCTGACGGAGCCGGGGACGCTGACGGAGGCGGGGACGCTGACGGAGCCGGGGACGCTGACGGAGCCGGGGACGCTGACGGAGCCGGGGACGCTGACGGAGCCGGGGACGCTGACGGAGCCGGGGACGCTGACGGAGCCGGGGACGCTGACGGAGGCGGGGACGCTGACGGAGGCGGGGACGCTGACGGAGGCGGGGACGATGACGGAGGCGGGGACAATGACGGAGCCGGGGACGCTGACGGAGCCGGGGACGCTGACGGAGGCGGGGACGCTGACGGAGATAATGACGGAGGCGGGGACGCTGACGGAGATGATGACGGAGGCGGGGACGGTGACGGAGGCGGGGACGGTGACGGAGGCGGGGACGGTGACGGAGGCGGGGACGGTGACGGAGGCGGGGATGATGACGGAGGCGGGGGCTATGACGGAGGCGGGGACGCTGACGGAGCCGGGGACGCTGACGGAGGCGGAGACGCTGACGGAGGCGGGGACGCTGACGGAGGCGGAGACGCTGACGGAGGCGGGGACGCTGACGGAGGTGGGGACGCTGACGGAGGCGGGGATGATGACGGAGGCGGGGACAATGACGGAGGCGGGGACGCTGACGGAGGCGGGGACGGTGACGGAGGCGGGGACGGTGACGGAGGCGGGGACACTGACGGAGATGATGGCGGGGATGATGACGGAGCCGGGGACGCTGACGGAGGCGGGGACGCTGACGGAGGCGGGGATGATGACGGAGGCGGGGACAATGACGGAGGCGGGGACGCTGACGGAGCCGGGGACGCTGACGGAGGCGGAGACGCTGACGGAGCCGGGGACGCTGACGGAGGCGGAGACGCTGACGGAGGCGGGGACGCTGACGGAGGCGGGGATGATGACGGAGGCGGGGACGATGACGGAGGCGGGGACGGTGACGGAGGCGGGGATGATGACGGAGGCGGGGACGGTGACGGAGGCGGGGACGGTGACGGAGGCGGGGACGATGACGGAGGCGGGGACGGTGACGGAGGCGGGGACGGTGACGGAGGCGGGGATGATGACGGAGGCGGGGACGATGACGGAGGCGGGGATGATGACGGAGGCGGGGATGATGACGGAGGCGGGGACGATGACGGAGGCGGGGACGATGACGGAGGCGGGGACGATGACGGAGGCGGGGACGCTGACGGAGGCGGGGACGCTGACGGAGGCGGGGATGATGACGGAGGCGGGGACGCTGACGGAGGCGGGGACGCTGACGGAGATGATGACGGAGGCGGGGACGATGACGGAGGCGGGGACAGTGACGGAGGCGGGGATGATGACGGAGGCGGGGACGATGACGGAGGCGGGGACGGTGACGGAGGCGGGGACGGTGACGGAGCTAGGCGGGGACGGTGACGGAGGCGGGGATGATGACGGAGGCGGGGACGATGACGGAGGCGGGGATGATGACGGAGGCGGGGATGATGACGGAGGCGGGGATGATGACGGAGGCAGGGACGGTGACGCTGACGGAGGCGGGGACGCTGACGGAGGCGGGGACGGTGACGCTGACGGAGGCGGGGACGGTGACGCTGACGGAGGCGGGGAGGTGCGTGTGGATGCCAAGGGAGTGTGGTTAACCAGGAATGTGGGTGAGCAGAAGGGTGAGAGCGCGGGGGAAGAAGGGAGGGGGGGCAAGCGTGGATGAGCGAGTACTTACCTATCAGTACTTACCTATCACAGCATATGTGGCATTCTCAATGCATACTTACCTAACGGTTGATACCTATTCCATACAATTCTCAAGATGTTTCATTCCTCTCTTACATTTTACTTTGTTCAGTATTTTATCTCTGATAATATATAGTTCTATGCTATGTCTTCATTCCCATACTCTATGCCAGGGGTAACACGTGAGACATCACTCCCAAGATCTCAGTAAGGAATTCAATCATAAACTTGTCAATGTATCAAAACATCAGTTACTTTAACAATATCATATCTTGTGTTTTCTCTTTATAAACGTATTTCATCTTTCTTTCATATGACAAATTCTTATGTAGTATTCAACCAAGAAAGTAGTAAAGGGCACTTTTGTATTATATCTTTATTCAACATCAACCTGTAACATAACTTTATATTTTTGTCATACACTTGTCGTCTGTCCCCAACCTTAGTGGAGTTTCTGGAGGAATGACCACAGTGTTGGGTGAAGCTGACAGTGGTGATAGTTGATCACAGATCACTCGCCCTGACGTGTTTACTAGTAGATAAGATTCGGTTCCCAGGAGACATATTACTAGGATTGAACACTATGAGAGACTATAGAGTTACTGTCGATGCTTACGGTTGGGAAACAACTGGTGACACAGTAGTATCTCTTTGTGGTGTGTTCGCGATGGGACAAGAGTTCACCAACCATAGGCACTATATCAGTTATATAAAAACCAGGAGTTACCAGGATACAATTTACCAGTCACATGCAAACAAAGCCGTCAGTCAATCACTTACTGTCACCGATACCAGTCCATCACGCAACCACACAGTCTCACAGGTCGGTGAGGTCAATGAATCTTTGCAAGGAGCCCCAGCAATTGTTCATTACCTTACTTGCCTGGAGTCTAACATCAATCAAGTCCGAGGCATCTTACACCAGGACTCAGCACTACATTCTCACGCACGCACAAAGGTTATTGTCAAAATTCCTGGTGTACTTGACCTAGATCACGTAATAGCAGACAGTGATATGTCAGGTACAAGGTACCTACATAGAACCATCCTTACATCAGGTACACAACAACACTTGTACTGTTTATGTTGCCAGTGTTACTAAGGCCAACATTCACCTCACTTCAGGCACACATTGTGGACTTGACCCATTATTGGTTACCGGTGTGAGTAGTGGATGAGGCCTCTACTGACCAAATGGTACATGAACTCTCTCATACTAGCAGTCTCACCCGAGCATCTTTGTCCCACTGACTTAGCAGACGCCCAAGCTCAGTTGCTGACCATCCTCAGCAATCATCGTACTGTTGTTACACTGACAGGAGAACAACTTGGACTGACTCACTTCATCACTCACAAAATTCGTCTTAAACCAGGTACTCGACCAATTTATGTACCACATACACATTGCCTCATTCTCAACGATCTGTTGCAGACCCACTTACTGACGAGATGTTACACGGAGGTGTTATTGAAGACAGTAACTCTCCGTGGAATGCTCAATTGATCTTAGTACCCAAGAAGGATGGCTCTTGGCGTCCCGTTGTTGAGTTCAGAAAACTTAACCAAGTGACGATACCTGATAGATTTCCACTTCCCGTTCTCACTGACTTACTGCAGAACATAGGCCAGAATAAGGGTTTTTCTACACTTTATTTATTGCAAGGATTTTGGCAAATACCACTTGACCGAGAGAGCCGAGAGCTGACAGCGTTATCAGTCCCTAACAGTCATTACCAGTACACCCACATGCCTTTTGGCTTACGCATCAGCCCTATTACCTTCTCTAGGCTTATGACAAACTTGTTCCGACGAATGATAGGTAATACCCGGATGGTTTACCTCGATGACCTCTTAATCATGTCCAAGGATGTACCAACTCACCTTCAAAGTTTAGAACGTGTTCTTCAGAAACTATCTGAAGCTAATCTGAAAATCCCACTTAGCAAACGTGCCTTTACGAAGAAAGAGATAAAGTTTCACGGCCATACTGTCACCTCACAAGGCATCACCACTCTTGACTCAAAGATAGACACTGTGAAGAACTATCCTGCCCCCTCATAATGTTGAAGCTGTACAAAAGTTCATAGGCCTAGCTGGATTCTACCGCCATTTTATCGCCGGCTACTCAGTGACTGCGTCTCCTCTCACTCACCTCCTTAAGAAAGTCTCTCACTCGCCTCCTTAAGTTCGTGTTGTACAGCTGATCAGAAGAAAGCGTTTAAAACACTTGAAGAGGCGTTAATATCTGCTCCCATTCTCAAGTTCCCAGACTTCTCTAAACAGTTTGTCTTGGTCACCGACGCCAGTAATATTGGGTTAGGAGCTGTACTAACACAAACTAGTGATAGAAAAGAACATGCAATTGCCTAGGCAAACCGAGTCCTCTCCAAAGCAGAAAAGAATTACTAAACAACAGAACGAGAAGCTTTAGCTGTAGTGTGGCTGTAGTGATGGACCACCAAGCCATCATTTCCTTGTTCAAAGAACAGAACCCAATAGGCAAGTTTGCTCGTTGGTCGCTCACAATACAAGAGTTCCTACCCACGTTTGGCTACTTACCTGGCACACATAATGTAGTTGCCGATGCCCTCTCCCGCTATGTCGCTCCTGTTCACGTTGAATAACCTTCATTAGACTTGCAAGATGTGGAAATAGTACACCAACAAGACCCAATGTGGGCACCGATCATAAGCTTTCTAATGAACCCGAACATGACTCTAACAGTCAAGCCTCCCGTGCCGTTCAAGGAACTAGTACTCTTAAATCACGTGCTTCACTGCAAGGTTATGCTTGGCTCTCCTGCCAGAATGATACATCAACTTGTTATTCCTGCGTCGATAATACCTACCGTGTTGAAACTTGTCCATGACGTCACATATAGTGCGCATCCTGGCAAGGACCGCACCATAAAGCAGGCTCGCCTCAAGTACTACTGGCCCAAAATGGCAAAGCAGATTGAACATCACGTGGATCAATGTCTAACCTGCCTAGCTCACAGAGGCCATGTTGCTGGCCCAAACCCGATTCAGAATTACCCTACGACTAATGCATTGGGATCGTGTTTTTATGGACTTGCTAATGAACTTTGTTGAAACTTGTAAAGGTAATAAACATCTCCTAGTTATCGTATATAACTTTTCTAGATACTGTGAAATGGTTCCAATTCCAAACAAAACTGAGGAAACAATAGCTAGTGCATTTCATGATAACATAATGTGCAGGTATGGGCCACCTAGAGTTATACTTTCTGACAATGGCCCGGAATTGAATAATTCTGATCTGGAATAACTGACTAAACTGTACAACACCAAAAAGTGAAGTACAATGCCTTATCAACCGGCTAGCAATGGCCTCGCTGAAAGAATAAATAAGAAAGTCCTAGAGGCACTGAGAGTTACAGTCAATCGGAACAGTCACAAATGGGATGAACTTATGCCAATGGTCCAAAACTCAATCAACTCCTCTGTCAACTCCTCAACAGGAGACACGCCTCACTTTGTGCTCTTCGGAACAGACATGAGGTTCCCTAATGTTCTCATATCCTCGCCGCCTGTGCCACTTTACAACTATGATGATTATGTTAAAGTAAAACAACGAGACACTCAACTGGTGTTCCAGAGAGTCAAGGAACACCTGTCTAAAGCTACTGACGATTTCACTCGGTTACAAAACATTCATGTTAAACCTACAAAAATAGGACCTGGATCTTTAGTAATGATCCTCAACCAGCAAAGAGATGGTCCCATGTTCAAGCTGACTGAGAAGTTTCTTGGACCTTACAAAGTTCTTGAGCTCACAGGTAACAAGTACAAGCTGGGAAACCTAGCTACAGGTGAACATATAAATGAACATCTCATGATGACAACCCAGTACCTGTCACTGACAATGTACTGACAGAGCCTACAACCGTGACACACTCCGGTCGCAGACACGAACAATGGTACCGCGACACGGTACTCACACTTACAACCTTAGGTGCAGACCAGTTATTTCGACAGTTCACCACCAACAGTCTGACGATACACGCTCGTGTGACTCTGGTGTTCCAGTCTGTAAAGGATAATGGATGCGATATATCAGCTCCCCACTTCCTGACTGTCAGTATGTGGCAGAGGATGACTACGTTCATGAAGAACTAGCACCTAACATTCATAGTTTTTATGTCTAGCTGTAGGGGTAATGCTTACCATATTATATACTAAGTAACAAACTTATGCCTACTAACTTCTACCCTTTTCAGCTTTAGTTAATATTTTACGAGAGAGTTCGTCCTGACTGAGTACCCAACCATTATGCGTGTTAGACACTTTCATTAAACATTCCCGCAGCATATCCGTTAAGATTTCCTATGAAACTAACACCAATTAATGACTTTCTCAGTGGGTTTTATACATCTGTTCTCTTTCCTTTGCCTCGAATGTGTATAATATGATACCTACACAGTTCACCGTTGTTCATAGTTTCAATCTTATCACGTCTCTTACATTAACTGTTTAAGTCTTCGTGTTTCTGCTACGTCCCTGCGCTCCATATTTTAGGAGAACGTCACTTATACTATGTACTATATCGTGCATGTGTTAGTGTCTACCGTTTATAATCTGCTTAACACTGTCCCTGAGCATCATGAGCCTTGTGCACAACTTCTGGTCCACTGCCACTACATCTTACGACTATTCTGCCTCTACTTGTCGATGGACCTCTTGCCTCCAGTGTGCAGAGATGTTTAGCTAGTCATGATGCTCCATGGATAGCTTAGTTTTAGGGTTGCATTTATACCAAGTCCACTATATTCATGCTTGTCCGAGACAGTGTTGGACGTCTCAAAGCTTGTTTAAGGCCACTGTGGATAAATGTACATAAATGTTAGTTAGGTACACAACAAAGATGTTCGTCGAGCAGATCGTCGAGGACGCCGATGATAGCGTGCCGAGCAGTGTTGGACACACGTTGTCACACATGTGGTGACCCTCATTCATTGACTGCATATGATCTGCATTCAACTCAGCAGCAGTTGTCAACAGCAGCATCAACGTGCTCGCTGATGTGCATCTTCCCCAAGAGCGACTTGAGCCCCATCAACCAGACCATCTTGAGCCGTACACCCTCTCACTCCATAGCTAGTATGAGGCACAGTAGAGGATATTATATATATTTTCACAATAAAACGAAGAAAAGGCCTAAGCTGTTTGTACTGCAATCTACCCCACTACAAGAGAGCTACAACCCACAACCACAACACATAATACTCCCCCTCCCGACACATCCCTTCTTACCTACCCTCTCCCTTCAAATCCCTACCCACCTCCCCCTGCCGACACATCTCTCCCCACCACTTCCTCCCGACACACCTGAGACACACCCCACCACATCTTCCCCCGAGACCTTCCCCCCCCCCCCCCCCCACAGACTCCTCAATGCACATTCAATTTGCGGTAACTAAATTTGACGGGTAATTCTGGTGAAGCAATATGGTGTAAATTTGATAATATGATTTCAAACGTCTTGGTGACGCATGGAGTGTGGGTCGAGGGTGGCACTGTGGGAGTGTGGTCGAGGGTGGCACTGTGGGAGTGTGGGTCGAGGGTGGCACTGTGGGAGTGTGGTCGAGGTTGGCACTGTGGGAGTGTGGACCGAGAGTGGCACTGTGGGAGTGTGGGTCGAGGGTGGCACTGTGGGAGTGTGGGCCGAGGGTGGCACTGTGGGAGTGTGGTTGAGGGTGGCACTGTGGGAGTGTGGGTCGAGGGTGGTACTGTGGGTCGAGGGTGGCACTGTGGGAGTGTGGTCGAGGGTGGCACTGTGGGAGTGTGGTAGAGGGTGGCACTGTGGGAGTATGGGCCGAGGGTTGCACTGTGGGAGTGTGGGGCGAGGGTGGCACTGTGGGAGTGTGGTCGAGGGTGGCACTGTGGGAGTGTGGGCCGAGGGTGGCACTGTGGGAGTATGGGCCGAGGGTTGCACTGTGGGAGTGTGGGGCGAGAGTGGCACTGTGGGAGTGTGGGTCGAGGGTGGAACTGTGGGAGTGTGGGCCGTGTGGCACTGTGGGAGTGTGGGGCGAGGGTGGCACCGTGAAAGTGTGGTCGAGGGTGGCACTGTGGGAGTGTGGTCGAGGGTGGCACTGGGGGAGTGTGGGCCGAGGGTGGCACTGTGGGAGTGTGGTCGAGGGTGGCACTGTGGGAGTGTGGTCGAGGGTGGCACTGTGGGAGTGAGGGTCGAGGGTGGCACTGTGGGAGTGTGGTCGAGGGTGGCACTGTGGGAGTTTGGTCGAGGGTGGCACTGTGGGAGTGTGGGCCGAGGGTGGCA